TGAAAACTGGAAGCAGATACACTTCACCAAATTAGGCTCTGTTTCCCCTTCATAAGAGTGTGGCCTCAGCAAAGGGAAGGTTTTGAATCAAAGTTTTTGATTCGAAAGCTAGTTTGAAAAAATTCCCTTAAATGGATCCTTAGCTTTAGCATAGCCCCAAATCAAGCTCCATGAAGACCCTCCACAGCCCTGTCTGGACTTTCAGTGAGCTTTAGGTAGCTGTTCTCAAATACACGGCATCTGTTTCTGCTCATTGTGACAACCTGGCTTTCAGAGGGTTTCAAAATCCTTGGCAAATAAGGTAAGAATTTAACCCAATCTTACAGTGCTTTGTATGTGTGGTGTGTGTTATCTCTTCCTACCAATCCACACCTAACCTTAAATTCTGCAAGGATGCAAGGATGTTCAGAAGTCAAGTGTGTCTAAATACAGGGCAGGGCAAAATTAGGTTTCCAGTTCTTTGTCTAAAAAAAGACATGCAGGTTATGATTCTTACAATAGCTTTATTAACTCACACAAATATCACCCACAACTGTAAATCTATTTTGCCCATCCCTGTATATTCAAGGACTTTCTTGAAATGGGTTGAATGTTTGTGTGTTCCCTAGAAATTCATACCCTTAGCTCCTAACCCCCAAGGTGATGCTATGAGGAGGCATGGCTTCTTGTAGATATTAAGTCATAAGGGTAGCCCTCTTGAATGAGATGCACTCCCTTGCTCTCTTCCCACCATGTAAATATCTGTCAAAAATGTAAATAAAATTACTTCTCATTTAAATTTCATGTTCACTAGGTATAATGCTATATAAAATTACTTTCTCATTATCTAATTATCATTTACCAGTTAAGAAAAAAAGTTAGGCCCTGGCCAGGCAGCTCAGTTGGTTGCAAAGTCATCCCAATGTACCAAGGTTGTAGGTTCAATCCCTGGTCAGGGCACATACAGCAATCCACCAATAAATGCATAAATATATGAAACAACAAATCAATGTTTTTTTTCTCTTTCCCTCAAAAAAGCTAAAGTTTAAAAAAGAAGAAGATGAAAAAGGAGAGGGAGAAGAATTAGAAGAAGAAGGAGGAGAAGAAGAAGGAGGAGGAGAAGGAGAAGGAGAAGAAAAGTTATTCTACCATAAGGCAGGAAGATCATTTTGGCTAAACCAGTAGTTAAAAACATGACAACAGGCTCAAAATGAGTCACTTATGCTAAGCCCCTAATGTCACCAAATGGAGACTTAATCATACCTCCAGCTTCTCCCCGAAATGGAACCTTAAACCAGTCAATAAGTAGCTACTTGATCTGTACTAGTGAGGTTATCTCTCATCTTCTAGGAAAGTGACTGTTACAACCAATCTATATTTTGTAGTGTGACTTCCTTGTTCCACTTTCTTCTGTTTATAACAGTCTTTCATTTTGTAGAGCTCCTCAGAGCTCCTCTCTCTGTATTAGATGAGACCCTGCCCAATTCATGAATCACTGAATAAGGACAGTTTCTTTAAAATTACTCAGTCCAATTTGTTCTTTAACACATTGAATTTCTTCAGTTACTTGGTTTTCTAGAATGAAACTTCTTTTTCTCAGTGGCTGAACTGAAACTTGTACCTGATTGTTTAATTTGAGGAGTCTTATCAAATTAAACAAATATACAACAAATGATGAAATCCATAGACAGATCTATGAGTATGACCATTTGGTGGAATAATCTAGCCACTATATGATAAAAAAATGTATGCAACATAGAAGGCTTGAAAATGTACTACAAGAAAGTTGCTTAAATCCAAATTCTGACTCTTAATAAATTTTCAAATATTTCATCTTAAATAGTGACTGGAGAGGACTTCCGCCAAGATGGAGGTATAGGTGGATGTGCCGTGCCTTCTCACACAACCAAGTTTAGGGACAACTAAATATTAGCATCAGAAAACACAACCAGAACACGGAAAATTGAACTTTTCGGAAGTCCGTTAACAACAAATTCTTCAGCCCGACCGGTAAGGGGCGAAACCGGCGTCTCGTGAGGGGTTGAACAGGAGGACTCCGGTCGGACGGACCCAGGCGTGGAATCCAGACACGCGAATCCAGACGCACGGGTTCCAAACCCAGGATTGGACCTAGTGAGCGACCGAGCAACCCACCGGGTGAGCGACTGCTGAGGAGACAGTGGGGAGGCGGTGCTGCGTGTTGACTGCGGTTGCCTGTCTGCGGGCGAGCGGACAGGCGAGGGAGTGGGCTGTTGGACCGGGGCCCTGCGGCCCCCATGGCTTGCGGCAGTAGAGGGCGCCGCCATTTCCCCGCTCTGACCACGCCCCCACATACAGCGTCACAACCCAGCGACCTGGGAGTCCAAGGCGCCGCTTCTCACATTTAAAGGGCCAGAACAGACCAAAAATGTCGCAGGAAGACCTCAAAGCCCCAGAGATAAATCTAAGCGATGAAGACATAGCAAAACTCTCAGACGCACAGTTTAAAACACGGGTCATCAGGATCCTAATAGATCTGGTTGATTATAGCCACAAATTAGAGAAACATATGAAGGCTAAACTAAGGGAAATGAATGGAATTCCACAGGAAACCCATAGAGATGAAAAGGAAACTGGGACTCAAATCAATGGAGTGGACCAGAAGAAAGCAAATAATGGCCAAACAGAAAAGAGTCAAGGAGCAAGAATTCAAAGATATGAGGAGAGTCTTAGGAACCTCCAGGACATCTTTAAACGCTCTAATATCCGAATTATAGGGGTACCAGAAGGGGGAAAGACACAACCACCAGTGGAAAAATTATTTGAACAAATAATAAAAGAAAATTTCCCCAATCTGGCAAAGGAAATAGACTTTCAAGAAATCCAAGAAGCACAGAGAGTACCAAAAAAGTTGGACTCAAGAAGGAACACACCAAGGCACATCATAATTACATTAGCCAAAATTAAAATGAAGGAGAGAATCCTAGAAGCAGCAAGAGATAAGGGGACAATCACCTACAAAGGAATCCCCATCAGACTGTCAGCAGATTTCTCAAAAGAGACCTTACAGGCAAGAAGGGGCTAGAAAGAAATATTCCAAGTCATGAAATCTAAAGACCTACAACCAAGATTGCTCTATCCAGCAAAACTTTCATTTAGAATGGAAGGACAGATAAAGTGCTTCTCAGATAAGATCAAATTCAAGGAGTTCATCATCACCAAGCCCTTATTATATGAAATGTTAAAGGGACTTATCTAAGAAAAAGAAGTTAAAGAAACATGAACAGTGAAAGGACAACAAACTCACAGTTATTAACAACCACACCTAAAACGAAAGCAAACTAAAAGGACAGCTAGATCAGGAGTGGAAACATAGAAATGAAGATCTCAAGGAGGGTTAGCAACAGGGGAGTGGGAGGAGGAGATGGGGGGAGAAGGTACAGAAAATAAGTAGCATAAACAGTAGATAGAAAATGGGGGGGCAAGAATAGCATGGGAAATATAGAACCTAAAGGACTTGAGACACATGGACATAAACTAAAGGGGGGTAATGGTGGGGATGGGGGGGCAGGGTGGAGGGGAATGAAGGGGGGAATAGAACAACTGTAACAGCATAATCAATTTAAAAAAATAAATTAAAAATAAATAAATAAATAAAATAGTGACTGGATAAAGTTGAAACATTCACTGGTAAGTACTTAAACCCATTCTGGACCATATAATTTAGGTAGCAGTAAAATATTAATATCAAAGTTGCCCATTAAAGAAAATTCTACATCTGGTATCCTCTGGCACAAGTTTAATGCTGACCAAGAAAAACATGAGTTGTGTGCTTTTTAGGGTGAGTCTTTGTTCCATTTTGTACCTTATTTCTCAACACTGATAATACTAATTATTCACAGCTAAATATCTTTTCCCTTTGTCCTATCTTGTTAAGTGTGGATTAAAAGCTCAATTGTTGCTTTTCAAGATATAATGTGTTAAATGAAAACTTTTAAGTACTGGACAAGTTCAATGTGCTCTACAGCTTGATCCAATTCCAGACTTGAACTAGGAAAAAGTGTGTACAAGAAACAAGATCTGCCCATATTGTCAAAATTAACATTTACTTCCTAGGATTTTTAAACTTCTCTCACATTCTACTAAAACAAGATGAACTTAAGCTACAGTTGCAAAAGCCATATTTGACCAGTCTTTTCACTATTCTCAAGCTTTTTTAAAGTATTGCCTTCCATTTTCTATACTTCTGACCCTCCCTTATTTCTCCTACAGTAATCAACTCAAAGGCATAGGACAAAGATCTTTCAATAAATTTAATAGTTTGGTAAGTAGACCCCTCTTCCTTCTGTAAATCCCACAGCTATCAAATCTTTTTGGATTCTATCTTGAGAAGAAAAATGTATAGAAATATATGCAGTATTAATTTGGGTTACTTTTTATAAGTTCATTTCAATCTCACCTAGATATGTATAAAAATATTCCATCTTCCCTTCTCCCCCTCCTCATTCACAAGCTAGCACATAGTCTTCAATCAGGAGTAACAAGGAAGGGCAAGAATTTCAGACATACCAGGAATATTGATTAACTCTATTCCTTTTGGTAAGGCAATTCCCTGATTGAACAGAGCACTGAAGGGTAAACCTAGAAGATGCATATCTTTCGAGCTGAGCCTTTTCAAGGACAGATGCCAAGGTGAGCAGTACTCCTGAGGTTTCTCAGCAACCTGAAAGGGTTCGTGAATGATTGTGAGAGATGAGCACTACTCCCAGCTGTACTTGGGTCTGCTCTGAAACAGAGAAGTCCAGCTCAGAAATTCAAGTCGCATCCTGTACCCGTGAGGGGTGGCACACACACACACACACACACACACACACACACACACACACGGAAGCCTGCAGAGAGGGGTCAGGCCTGCAGGCTCTAAAGCAGTCAGCATCCGTTTCCCACACCAGCGGACAGCTCCCCTTAGCCGGAGCTGCAGCCACTTGTCTTTGCTGTCCTAGGTCTTTCCCACTGGGTAGGAAGGTCGATGCTGGCCTTACCTCGGGGGCTGCTTTCTTGCAAGTACAGCGGGGCGGTGGGGGTGACATTTCCCGAATGGGGGGCAGACAGCAGAGGCGAGCATTCGTCCTCTCCCTCAGCAGCCATGACTGCGGCAGAGGCGAGCCGGCGGGACCAACTAGGCTGCGGCTCTGTGGGAAGGGCTGGGGCTGCGACCACTGGAGACCAGGATATTTCTTGGGGAGGGAGGCCAGGAGGGGAGTGCACCCGGGATCAGAACAAGGGGAGGAGAGGCAGAGGAAAAGAAAAAGCGGAGAGCAGAAGAGGGGGAGGAAAGAGGGAGGAGACTTGAGGGGCGGGAACTTTAGGAATGAACCAAGGAGGAGGGGCAAAGGGGGAGAAAGAAGAACTGGGAGGGGCAGAGGACCCAGTAGGAGGGGTGACGGGAGGCGAGGACCAGGGAGGAGTGCTAGACGGCGGGAGGGGTAAGCAGGAGGAAGGGTCTGCAGCCCTTTTTTGTCTAAACTTGATGTTTCCTTAACTAAGGAGAAGGGTGAGGAGCAGCCTGGGAGGGGTCAGGAGGAAAAGCTTGAGTCTCCAGTCTAGGAGACCTGCAGCAAACAAGGATCTCAAGTTCAGCCCCTCCAGGGAGGAATTATTTGCTGTCAAACTTCGCAGCTCAATCCTCGGGTTATCAATTTTTTCTCGAGGGCTGCTTCTTTTGTTAGAAAATCATTTTTCAACATCTGTTGTCTAAGAGAAAGTAAATTTTCGATGATGCTTTGTTAATTTTTAAGTAGCTATTTGGCATTCTAGTAACAATGTCTTATTGAAATGATGCATACTGGTTTAGGTTTCATTTCACAAAGTAGGTTACCATTTTAGTTTTGTTTTTCTACTAAATTGTCCCTGGCACATAGACAATAATGAAGTTTATGAATAACTAAGACAATGAAAAACTATTTCTTGAGATAATGCTTTAAAATGATCTTTTACATGTAAAAGCAAAAAAAAAAAAGCACTGTTCTTATTTTGCTTTCTGTGTTTATTTTATTATCCTTTTCCTTGTTTTATTTTTTTTTTGGTAGTTTGTTAAAGTGGTTTAAAAATCATAGTTTTGAACATACCCAGGTAAAAATGCAATAGGAACATAGTCATTGGCTTGTTAGTAATTTTTCTGCAGTGTTTCTCTGTATCATTCAACAAATATTTATTATGTTCTTGCACAGTCTACAAAGGTGAATAAGGCAAATCTTAGTCCTCAGGTGCCTGCGAGCCAAGTCAAAAATAAACCAGCCTTGGCTGGTGTAGCTCAGCGGATTGAGTGCTGGCCTGCGAACCAGGGGATCTCAGTTGGATTCCCAGTCAGGGCACATGCCTGGGTTGCAGGCCAGTTCCCAGCAGGGGACTCATGAGAGGCAACCATACATTGATATTTCTCTCCCTTTCTCCTTCCCTTCCCCTTTAAAGGTAAATGAATAAAATCTTTAAATTAAAAAAAAAAGAGTCTAGTTATCCTAGCTGTAGATCTAAAGTGATATGCAAAAAAAGCAGACTTTAGACAATCAAAACTACTTAACAAAGGTCTTCATTTTGCTCTCTGAAGATACTTTCTTCAAAAAGTACATTTAGGCACCAGATGAAAATCCAAAGAAAAATTAAAGAATGATGTCTTCTAATATTCATCATCTTTTGTGGGTCAGTAGTTTCAGGATACAATATAATATAAGGATTCTCCTGTGATAAAATACAAGGGCATTTATAGGTTTCCAGGAACCTGGGAAGTGAGGGGTCAAGGTTCAGCATTCCCTGCAAAAGTAAACAACTTAGAAAATAAACAACAAAATTTTTATAGCTGCTGGATAGAAGCTATTGAGCTAAAGAAACTTTTAAGAAGAATCAACAAAATCCTATTACTATAAGTGTCCTATCCTGTTACTAGTCATACTCCATGGTAACAGTGTGTTCACATTTCAATTACTTGCCCTCCCTTGACCCCCAGCTGACTTTGTGGGGATAAACTTCTGCACATCTCTCATTCTCCATGGCATCTACGGCATCTAACATAATGCCTGGCATAGTAATAAGTGCTTAATAACTGTGTGTCAAATCAGTAAGCAAAGGAGTATATAAACAAATCCTGCACAGTCCCAGCATCTCAATATAAGAAATTTTTTTAAGTTAGGAATATTTCTTGATTTTTTGATGAAGATGATAATTTTGCCCTCTGACTGACTAGTGTTTTTATTGTTTAATTATATTTCTACAATTAGGATTTCTTTATTGTCTATGTAAAAATTATCAGTATACATTTTTCTTTCTTCTTTTATGGTTTCTCTGTTTCAGACCTCCTTTGAGGGTATTATAGCTATTGGCAATTACCCTTCTTATAATATAAAAAGTAGTGGATCTACTGAGATTATAATTGTAGCAATGTTGAGTTTTACAAAAATTATAAAAGGTTTATTAATAACCACCACTTTGTCCTAGTTTAAAGATATTACTATAGTTTATAGTTGCTCAAAAATGGTGTGTAATATTCATCAGGCCAAGGCATTAGTGATTGTATCTTACCATCTCTCTTCAGATGAGCTAATATGTCATTTAGAATAATAGTACAATATAAGTACATAATGTGTGCACTATTAAGAGAGATATCTCATTACTTACTTAACTACTGAAGATATAGTTTCAGTTATCTACAACCGTATAATAAACTACACCAAAACCCAGCAGCTTAAACAACATTTGTTATTTTTTATGATTCTGTATGTGGAACTAGTGGTTATTCTGTCAGTTTTTCCTGGGCTTACTCAGGCAGCTAGAAGACTGGCTGAGGGATAGATAGACTCAGTTGAAACAGCTGGGATGACCAGGCACCTTTCTCTTTCTCTCCCTCTCTATAGTCTTTCATTCTTGGCTGTTCACATGCCTGGTAGTCTCAGAGCAGTAGTCCAGCATGTTCCAGCAGCACAATTGAATAGCTCTATGCAGTCTTGGCTGAGTAGCTCAGTTGGTCACAGTGTTGTCTTGATATGCCAAGGTTGTGGGTTTAATTCCTAGTCAGGGCACATACAAGAATCAACAAATTAATGCATAAATGAGTGGAATAACAATTCTCTCTCTCTCAAATCAATAAATAAAAATTAAAAGTAAAAAAGGCTCTCCACAGCATCTCTTCATATCTAGGCTCTTCTACCACATTCTTCTACCTTTTTCAGCCTGCTTTCTGTCCAAAGAAAGTTGGGGACCAAGATGTCTCTTTTTATAATCAAAGAAAGTCACAAGGGCAGTTGGGAAACCAGGTTCCATCTCTTCATAGGAGGAGTGGCAATGTCACACTTCAAAAGAATGTGGAATACAGGAGACATGATTCTTTGAGGCTATTATACAGCATCTAGCATAATATGTCCTCTGGTCACAGTAATTCATTCCCAAGACTCCAATGTCTCATTTAATCACCAAAATCATTGTTTGTGTATCTTGTCACCTAAATTAACTCCAGGTGCAGACAGTCCTCCTTAGGTATGATTCTACAGGTTTATTTCCTTGGGCACAGCACCCATTGATTCAGAGCACTGTGAACTAGAAAAACAAATTGTGGACCCTCCTCCTTTCTTCCTATCCCAGCCTCTAATGCTTAATAGTAAAACATGAACAGGATAGCAGCAATAAATAATCCAATTTTTTAATACAAGAGGAAGGAGGTAATTTGTTTTCAGAAGTGAAGGTACATAGCATACATGAAACCATGACATTCTCAAATCTGATCTGGAAGATGGTGGCGAGGTAGATGGGAGAGGAGCCCTGTTCTCCCTGTGCCCAGCTGGAACACCTAACAGATCTTCTGAGGAAGAGTAAACAGTCAGCAGAATCCCAGCTTACATGAAGTTTGGAGGCAAAAAATTGCAGAGGACATTGAAAAACAGATGTGAAGAGATGGTGCTGGAACAATAAGATCCCTGGGTTTTGCACAGGGACCAAATCTGCTGTGGCCCCTGGCCCAGTGCCTGCCTCAGGATCCAGGGAGGAGAGTTAGATCACCAGCTCCCTCCCCTACCAGAGCAAGGAGGGCAGCCTGGCACCAGGAGGGACCTGGATGCATGAAGTCACTGGGGGGAATAGAGATGAAATGGGAGACACACAGAAGCAGTACACATCTACTGGGACTATGGATGTTGGCACCAGAGAAATGAGGTGCCAGGCAATATCTGGAGAAGGGAAAAGTTGGGCCGTGTTGGACCCTGACTTGAATAGACTCCCAGACTGGTTGGAAAGTTGGGCTATGTGAAAAGCCATGTGCTTGTTAAGAACAGTGGGCAGCTGTTTTGTAAGAAACTCTTGAGCAGCAGCTGGCTTGCTGGAGGGTGATTTCAGCTGCATGTGCCCAGAGACTGAGTGGCTAAGTGGAACCACATGCCTGAGCTTGTCTCATGCTGCATGCCCAGAGACTGAGTGGCTGATTTGAGCCTGGCAGCTCATGGAGTACCTGGGCTGCAAGCCAGGAAACTGTGAATATTGTGGCTGGGACCTGGTCCCCATCCTCTCAAAACCCTAGGAAGGGAGAAAAGTGAAGCCCAGCCTCCTCTTCCTGTGGCATCTAGGAAGACCATCAGAACTCCCTGAACAGGTTTAAAGACATGAATTATTATCAGATTATTATTTTTCTCTTTTTTTTTGTTCCTCTCTCTTTTTTCTTTTCTTTTTTTTCTTCCCCCCGAGTGAGGCAATAAAATCTGAAGTTATGAAGGGTCCAGAAACAGATTAAAAGGGGGAGCACAAGGCTAACCCCCAAAACTGAGAAACTGAGACAAATGTCACTTTGCTATCCCACAGAGCTGGCATTTTATTGTTTATGTGTATTATTATTTTTTCATTTTTTTTTACCACTTTTATTTTATGAGTATTTTTTAATTTTTCCTCCTTATGTTTAGTATTCCTTGTTTTATTTCTCTGATAATGGCATTGCTTGACTGGTTTTCCTTATTCTCTCTTTATTATATTTTAATTATCCTTTTAAATAATAAGGATATCATGTTCCAATAATACACAGCTCTTGGTTGGGTACTTTCTATTCTGGTTATCCAAATCACATATTTCTTGTCATATTATTGTTGTTCAATACAATTATACATACTACACAGCAACCCTCCATGATCTTAGCCCACTTCACTTTAATTCTGGGCATTACTATTATTGTGGTTAGCTCTATTATCTCTCATACTACACCTACTTTCTATCCTTTAATCTCACTATACTTTATCATCTAACCTTCCACCAGCACTCTGTTTTCTGGATTCAGCTCACAATCCTCCTCCACTC